ACAAGTCTGCCATAGACACTTTCGGTTCACAATGATAAAATTGAGTATGAAACAAGTCCTCCATTTGCCTCCAGGAGTAGACTGAATTTTGAGGCAGACTGAGGTACCAAGTAAGGGCTGTTCCAGTCAAAGAGCTAGGGAACAGTCTGAGTTTCAAGTTATCATCTCCAGACGCCTCTCCACATTGTATTGTGCAGTGTCCAATATGTTCAATAGTGGACTGACCAACCTCACCAGAAAATAAAGTGAATTTAGGCACTTTAAAACCCCTTGGAAAAGGATTTTCATGATCAATGATGTTTGGATAAGGCTTCCTGTAGGCTGGACGCACCAATGGTCTCAAGGCTGGTCCATAGGTTTCTTGTACCAGATCTATTAGCTGATCTCTATTGAATAATTGAGCTGGGTGATTCTGCAAACCGCGCTGTACCGGCTGGGCTAGAGGAACTTGTGGCTGGAAAAAATCCCTTGGGTAGGGTTGATGATGAGGACCCACATTTCCCCTCTTACCTGGCGGAACATACCTATGCTGAGGTTGATGGCCATGGTCTGCAACAGGAGCAGCAGCCTCCATTGGTTCATGCTGTCTTTGTCCTTCACCCATGAAGAAATTCTATTGTTGAATGTTAGGATGAGGCTGATTCCCTTGCCCCCCGAGTGCTGGGATTGGGGCTTCCTGAATCCGTCTGGGCATTTCAACGACTGGAGGAGGAATCTCAGGTCTGGGCTGTCGCACTTGCTCAACCACTTGTTCTGAAACAGCCTGCAGTGTTCTGCGACTTTCTTCCCCAGTTTCTCACATCACCCTAGTGCCTTCCTCAAAGACCCGTCTCATCTCTTCTATACATTGTCTGACTAACTCTTCCTGACGTCTGGAAGATTCTGTTTGACTGTCAAAAAGTCTCCGTATAGCCTGGTTCTGTTCTTTGAATGCTAAATCCAGACATTCAGTCATACCTCTAAACATATTACTTGATTCAGCAAAGTCACCTCCACGGTCTGCTTCTTTCTCCTTAAACACTGGATTCCCATAAGACCGTTCTGCTAGAGGTGACACTGGGAGAAAAGTGATGGGATCATTTTCGCCCTCAAAGTGGAGTGGACTGTCGTCTGCGTGGTCAGCCTGGGCTGGCTGAACCTCTTTGTCTCTGCTCTTTCTCGGTGGCATGGTTCCAGACACTTCTGGATGTATAAACAGAGGGTCTGTAAACTTTAACTGATACACTTTGCTGGTCCCACTGGGCGTGCCAACAAAGGATTGTTTCCTCAAAAATCCTCAGCCGGCCTTTACCACGTGAGTTGGATGTTAGGCGTGCCACTTGCTTTGTCTAAAAACAAGAAAATAGGATTTTCCAGACGACCCTTCTCCTTTCCAGCGGTCGACCTCCAATAGGATGGCT